CGATGGATTGTAAGTAGTTTGCCTTTATCATATAGTATGTATATTAGTACCATCGTCCATCGAGTGCAAAGTCTCGAAAAATATTAGTCTAATTAACAAAAGAGAAATAAAAGGAGAACACACACTATCAAATAGGCAAGTCAATTTCATTTTAAAATTTATATTTTATGACATAATTTTGCTATAATACACATTACTATACTGACGCTTGCGATATTGGGCGACCTGTGTTTGTACTGACATCGTCAATCAACTTCGTACCCAGGGTCCCCGTGTTTAAAGGTCCCAACTCGTGACCAGAACCTTTAAACACGGGGACCCTTGGTACGAGGTTGATCGTCAATTTCCATGCAGCACAGGTGCATTTCTGTGCAGCACAATCGCATTTCCTTGCAGCACAGTCGTGTTTCCATGCAACACAGTCGTGTTTCCATGCAGCACAATCGCATTTCCATGCAGCACAGTCGTGTTTTCATGCAGCACAATCGTGTTTCCATGCAGCACAATCGTGTTTTCATGCAGCACAGTCGTGTTTCCATGCAGCACAGTCGCATTTCCTTGCAGCACAGTCGCGTTTCCTTGCAGCACAATCGTGCTTCCATGCAGCACAGTCGCGTTTCCATGCAGCACAGTCGCGTTTCCATGCAGCACAGTCGCGTTTCCATGCAGCAGAGGTGGCCCTTATCGGCCACCGTAGTATTTAATCTATTAATGCTAACTAACTGTCGCCTTAATCTCAAAATAACTACTTGACTGCGTATCCGCGTATCCACTAAAATATAGAGCTACCTGTAGCATGAAAATTTGATCTAATGCTAATCTAACTGCATGCCTCGTTCTCAAATTTGACTGCGTATTAATTCGCGTATGAGCGTATCCACTAGAATATAGAGTTACCTTTAACACTATCATGACAATTTAAGCTATTATTGCTAAGTCACTGTATGCCTCTTAGCTACCTTTACCACCACGGGATTTTAATTTATCAATCTAATTATTAATCTATTGAGAATAAATATAGATGTATTAATACATCGTATCCATGATGTTTGAAAGGTATGGCTTAAAAAGTGGACGGGTATTCTGCAAACGCTCCGAAAAGAGTTACAAGAAACAGTTACAAAAGCAAAGAAAAGCAAGTGGGAATGGCGAATATAACTTAATAAAATATGTCAGATGTCTTCACCACACAAGATGTGAAGCCAGTGGCGTGCTGGCAGGGGGGGCCGGGGGGCCACGGCCCCCCCAGCTGTCAATTTTTGGGGGGCGCAAAAATGAAAAGGGGGCGCCGATCCCGCGCCGAATTTTGAAAGTAGGTGGGAAGAAACGCATTCGAAAAAATATAGTTACAAATTCCTCCAAGGAAAGATGTGTTTATAGACTTATAAACAGACTAAGCGCATACGCGACAAAGTGAGTATATTAAATTGCAGACTATTTTGTCTAACCGTATTTGCTACCTCACGACTCACACGAAATCACTCGTTCATATAGAAACATGATCAGTGATCACACGCAATGTCTCATTACCGGAATATTGACCAGGCTTCGAAGCGATCACGGGAATTATGCCCTTTTTTGCTGGTATTATACCCTTATATTATGCCCTTTATTATGCTTCACGAATCACGAGAGCGGCGCAAATTAGATAGTTGAAGTTATGATAATGTAAAGTTGTGTACGCAATTTAGTTGTTTGCGCAAGAAACATTATGAGTAATGCAAGTATTGAGATAATGATGAAACACGCCCTTTTGGCAGCCAGGCAAGGAAACCTTAAAATGCATATGCGTGGGATTCGTGTGTTATTGTATGAAAGAGCTGTAAATTGTAAATGTATTCAGATCAGTAGAGAATGGAATTGGGATTAGATTAATTGCTGGAAGTAGTTAGCATTGCCCAATTTAAGTGCTACTACTAAATTCTAACCAATTTTCAAATTTCGACACGTTGTAATGCCGTTTCCTGACCATCAGATTTCTGTCAAATCTTCCCCCAAAGTCCAGGAAATGCCATTTCAGAGACTCTAAATTCAAAAATTTTCCTGGGGGGCATGCCCCCGGACCCCCCTAGACAAACCTCGCACCTGCGGCGCTCGGCTCGTGCCTTCGGCCCTCGTTTATCAAGGGTAATATTATAGGGGCGCATATTAGTTGCCAGCCGACTGGCCTCCCCAGAAAAATAGTACCCAGCACGCCACTGTGTGAAGCCACAATGTGTCCTGTTCAGATTTTGACATTTCAACCAAGCAATATTGATTATTGATTTTGAAATCACCAATTGCGTGCGCAAGACACACAGGGAAGGCGCATCTAATAAAACGTATCCTCTGAATATTTTGTTTAAAGGCACAGTTCAGCCTGTTGAACGATGGTTTTTAAGGCGCATTTCAATTTCAGCCCTTTTAATTGAAAAAACTAACTAGGAAAATCAATTAAGCATAATTCAAGATCACCAAACTTAATGTTTTTAACATTTTAAAACATTCAGGGGCGTAGGAATCGGGGGGGCACGGGGGGCACGTGCCCCCCCCCAAATTTTTTTAAAGGACTAAAAGTGCCCTTTTTTGTGATAAAAAGTGCCCTTTTTGTGTTGAAAAGTGCCCTTTTTTGTGAGGAAAAGTGCCCCTTTTGTAGAAGCTAATGTCGCTGTAAATACTAAATTAAAACAATAGGTGCCGTTTTTGTGTGGAAATTTACAATTTTTTTTAAAAAATTAGGTCACAAACATAAATTTCGGTATGATACGACGGAAAATTTTCCTCAGGAGAAATTTCTCCCCCCCCCCGTCGACAACATTTCCGGGAAAAATTTTTTAGGTGCCCTTTCCGATAGTAATGTGCCCCTACAAGCCGGTGCCCCCCCAAACTCCAGGTGCTTCCTACGCCCCTGAAAACATTTATATTGTTAAAAACATCGAGTTTACTGATTTTGAATTATGCTTAATTGATTTTCCTAGTTAGTTTTTTCAATTAAAAGGGCTCAAATGCGCCTTAAAAACCATCGTTGAAAAGGCTGAACTGTGCCTTTAACTTAAATTAAGGGCGCGGGTCAATGATGCGTCCGACTATCAATGAGGAGTCCGACTGTCTACGGAAAAAAAAATTGCGCCGCCGCGCGTGGTTTACGCGAATCGTATCATCCGGGTGATATAATCAAATCACCCGGATGATATTGAAATCACCCGCTACGTCAAATACCAGAGGTCAAATACGGTGACGTACACACGTAAAAATCTCACAACTTGTCAACAAGATCGGTTCGCAACAGGCTTGTAGCAAGCTTGTCAACAGGTTGTAACAATGCTGTTATTTTATCAAGCTACTACAAGGTTGTCACTCACAACTTGTTGACAAATTGTTGAATAGCAGGACGATAACAAGTTGTTGGAACAACTTAATTGGAACAAGTCTGTTGAGCTCAACAACCTTGTAGCAAGTTGCCAACAAGTCGTTGACAACTTGTCAACAAGTTGGGAACAAGCAGTACTGGTGCGAACACATCCTGTTGACAAGTTGTTGGAACAGCATTGCTACAAGTCCTCTCTCCTCCGCAGAGGCGA